ATGGAGATGAGATGTTGTGTCTCCGCCCCTCTGTATATTTATCTCGGAGACTTGCTTGGCGAATTTATATGAAATTTGGTATACAAGGTTTACACCAAAAGTTGTCGAGATGATTTAATCTTTTGTTCATATTGGTCCAGCGGTCCCTCCAGGAGGATACTGGGATATCGCCTTGCATTTTAAATGGTTGTCTTTTAAGGGTTGTTTCGCCGTGTCGTCTGATAGAATATTACCGACGTTTCAGAGGTGTTTGCTGCCTCTATATCCCATCACTGCCCTCATGATGGAGGTAGCAAGTACCTCTGAAACGTCTTTAAACTTACGTCATACTACTGTTGAAGGAATGGGGTGTGATTGATTCCGTTACATGTCGAGTTTATATAAAATGGAGCGTTTCGACACGGCGCTTCGGATAAAACGTAATGTCGGATAATGAGACTTCTACTGCAAATGAATAATTTTAAGAACGAGGAAACTTGAAAGTAGATCGTGTACAAAATGCCGGTAAGAAATTATAGCAGCTTATCTCAAATGTTGTTCGTGACATCAGTGTATATTGCCCATTCGTTTGTTATTGGTTGGTTGGCCATATTAAACACCAATGTCTAATTCGTGCGTGTTTGAACTAATAAAATTAATCTTGAATAGGCCTATTTTTTTTATTTATTGTGGTTACAGATGTCAATTTAGTTCTAAATTACTCTTGATACGTCATAGCAAACGAACTCAGACATACGAAATTACGAGGGACAAGGAAATTGATGAGTGGGGTCACATCGATTGACGTCTTTGTTATGAGAGGGTGAGGAAGCCAAACAAATTCTCTCTCTTCTTCAGGAAGATTACTGACAGACTGCGAGGTAAAAACTTAGGAGATGTGTTGGTGTCTGGACTTTGAAGGAATAGAGATCGTAGATCTATTCACAAACTTTTGTCTCGTGATAGGAGTTATGCTTATATTTCAACACCGAAAAAAATATTGGTTTTCCAAGGAACAGAACATAGGCTACGATTTAAAAGGAGCTTGTAAGACTTAAGGTTCTCACAGCGGTGAGTATGAAGATTTCCGTCTTCTGGGTTGTTGCGCTGTGTAGTCTGGTCGATGTTTACCAACGTTTCAGAGGTCATACTGCCTCCATCATCAGGGCGATGAGTATGAAGATTTCTGTCTTCTGGGTTCTTGCGCTGTGTAGTCTGGTCGATGTTAACCAACGTTTCAGAGGTCATACTGCCTCCATCAACAGGGCGATGAGTATGAAGATTTCTGTCTTCTGGGTTCTTGCGCTGTGTAGTCTGGTCGAT